GGCGGCAGCGTAAAGAATGGCTGTTCAGTGTGCCCCTTTCCCACATAACTGTACGCAGACGCTGTGGATTGGGCACGCGAGAGAGAAAAGGGAGGAAAACGACTTGGAGCTCCTTCTTACACGCCATGTGCTTATTCGCAAGTCCCTGATCTACAGCTACTACGTTGGTCCGGTGTTCCGCTTACGTCCATCTTTTGTCTCCGTCGCAACCTTGTTTGCTCTGGCGTTCACATCCACCGCATCCACATTCGACATTCCACATCCACCTCGTCCAACATCGACACAGGGGTCAAGCGCCCGAAGCATCTTCCAAGCACCTCTGAACTTTATCTACATTATCCACGATCTCTGGACTGGTTGTCAACGCATAAAACCGACGGACGACAGCCAGCCGTTAGGGCTTCCATGTCTTCCAAATAAGCACCAGAGCTGTAATAGCATTTCGACTCGACCACTTTATATCCCACCTCCTCCCTTGTCGTCGGTAAGGAAGAGCCCTACTGGCCCCCCAGCAAGCAAGGCCGTCGAGTTGCAGCCCAAGCAATACAAGGCAAGGCAAGGCCGAGCAGCCAGCCAAGACTGGGTCGCCGGCTCAACGACGAGGAAGCAAGAGCCGAAGACGACCAGGGCAGACGATAATTACATAGCACACCAGACACAAGACAAGACAAGACAAGACAACCCAACTCCCAAGCACGCACCGAAAACAACAAGCCTGGTCAGGTCAGCCCAGGACAGTGGACCAGGACGGGTTTCAGGCGGCGTCAACAGGGAAAACAGCGACAGGAAAATAGCGAGACAGTCGCAGCACGGCTCCTCCTTGAGACCTTGGGACCACGACCCAAGACCCAGGTGCTCCAACTCCATCTTTGGATCCTTGGCGACGGGAAGCCAAGGCAGGCCAGTGACACTGGAGCGTGTAAGGTAGGTCTGTACATACGTAGGCATGTAGGTAGACAGGTAGCGTGTGTACGTAGCCCAGGCCAGAGAGAGCCAGTGCAGCCGCCGCCAACCACCACCTTGGGACAGACACTACACCGGTCGACCGCTCTCGCCTGCCTGAGGTGGGTTGAATGAATTCCATTGGGTTGAATTTGGGTCGGGGGATTGACTGCACTTCCTCTTTGCAGAATCTGATCGGCCAACTTAACTTTCTCACCACCATCTTCCGCCACGCACCTACCTACTTTGCGTACGGATACCTACCTTACACCTAACACACACTCTGGACCTACAGTACTGCACCGGGACCTACGCACCACACACACACGTCGGGTCGACCTTTATCCCAAACCACAAATCCAATCCTCAGCGCCTCGACCAACTCTACTTTCCCCCGTCTGAATTGCCTTTTCGCAGCACATACACCGCCGCACGACTGCCAACCACCGACCACCAACTCGCTCTCCGCCGGTCAATACTCTCCGCAGCTCTCTGCCCTGCGCTGCTCTACTCTGCTCTGCTCGCTTGCCTGCCTCACGTTACCTCCTCTCCATTCGTCGTCCCCCCGCATTCCATTGAACTTGCGTCTGCATCCGCAACCTGCATCCTACCTGACCCGCAAAGGTATCGACTTACGAGATAGTCTCCTTTCCATCGAGGTACGAATCCGAACCTAAACTCCACTGGCTTATCCCGTGCCTTTCGCCTGAGCACCCGCCGCCCGCTGCATTCATCCCTCCTCACCAACGGCAACTCGGCCCTTTCGCCTTATCTCCCGTCCATGCGATCCGAACGAGGCTGACTCTTGAATTCTCTGCACCACAGTCCTTGACGAATACCTCAATAGCTTCATTCCATCCTCGCCGCCGTTTCGTACCCATCTCCTCTCGCTTATCCCCAGAAAACTCCCGCCCGCCGCGAGCCGCGTCGACGTCACCCGCCCGCTTCTTCGCTTACAGACCAACCGACACATCCTCAGCAATCGATCAAAGGCCGTCGCCTTAACGCGCCCAAAACGGACAACTCAAGTGGACGCCGCTCTCCCTCCTGCATCCGCTTCCTGTCCATCCTCGGTCGTTTATTCCATCCTCCCTAAGACTGTCATTGCAACGCAGCATCGCCTTTCATTCCATTCAGAGCCCCCTGCCAGACCACGGGTGTAGCGGCGAGACGAGCAGGCTAGCCATACATCAGACGAAGACGAGGCCAGCCCACGCTCGCACCCGATCGACAACAGCTTCGACCGCCGTTCCCTCCATCGCGGCCAACATAGCTACATCATGGGAAACCAGCCATCCAAGGAAGGCGGCCATGCTTCTGGCAAGGGTGCCGGCGGTGAGCGCACTGCCGAGGATCTCAAGTCATACCCTTCGTTTGGCAGATCCGATACCAAGGATTCATCCCGCTCCTTCAAGGCCTTGCGATCCAAAATCCCCGGTTCCAGCAACAAGACTGACAGCCCGAGGAACTCTGTGATTGCTTCTCCCGCTGACGAAAAGGCCGACGCTTCTTCGGTCAAGTCGGGTAAGTCCCGAGGCCGCAATGACTCCGCCACTTCTCCCACGTCGCCATCAGGCGACATCGAATCCCCGCTTGACGACTCCCAGCCGCCCCCGTCTCCAACCCAGTCTAGCACTATCAAGAGCGGGCATCACGACGTGAGCGCTGCTCAGGCATCCGGCGAGGTCGACCATGTATCTGACCAACCGCCTTGTGCCGGAGGCAGCCTCAACACACACATGCAGCAGCCCGGCAAGTCCATCTTGGCTAAGGGCGGTGACGGTGCCGCCACCCCTGTTGCCAAAACCTCGTCGACAAACTCTGGCGATAGGCACGAGGGCGGCGTGGCCATGAGCGACATCAAGGACATTGATCTCGACGACTTTATCAAGCGACTTCTCGACGCAGGTTACGCCGGCAAGGTTACCAAGAGCGTGTGCCTCAAGAACGCCGAGATCGTTGCCATCTGCCAGCGCGCCCGCGAGGTTTTCCTCTCCCAGCCTGCCCTTTTGGAACTCGACGCACCGGTCAAGATTGTCGGCGATGTTCATGGCCAGTACACGGATCTGATTCGCATGTTCGAAATGTGCGGCTTCCCTCCTTCGTCCAACTACCTTTTCCTAGGCGACTATGTCGACCGCGGCAAGCAATCCCTCGAGACGATTCTCCTCCTTCTCTGCTACAAGCTCAAGTTCCCCGAGAACTTCTTCCTCCTCCGAGGCAACCACGAGTGCGCCAACGTCACCAGAGTCTACGGGTTTTACGATGAGTGCAAGCGTCGATGCAACGTTAAGATCTGGAAGACATTCATCGACTGTTTCAACACGCTGCCCATCGCTGCCATTGTTGCGGGCAAGATTTTCTGCGTACATGGTGGTCTTTCGCCTGCTCTGAGCCACATGGACGATATTCGCAACATTGCTCGACCCACCGATGTACCCGACTACGGACTTTTGAACGATCTCTTGTGGTCCGATCCGGCCGATATGGAACAAGACTGGGAGGCCAACGAACGAGGTGTCAGCTACTGCTTCGGCAAAAAGGTCATTCTTGACTTCCTTGCAACGCACGATTTCGACTTGATTTGCAGAGCTCATATGGTGGTTGAGGACGGGTACGAATTCTTCAATGATAGGGTCCTTGTTACAGTTTTCAGTGCTCCCAACGTAAGTTTGCCGGCTTCAGATCAGCTTTGACTACATGCTAATGCCAGAAATAGTACTGCGGCGAATTCGACAACTGGGGCGCCGTGATGTCTGTCTCTAACGAGTTGCTCTGCAGCTTCGAGCTGCTCAAGCCGCTTGACTCCAGCGCGCTGAAGAGCCACATCAAGAAGGGCAGGAACAAGAGACAGAGCATGCTCAACAGTCCGGTATGTTGGAGAAAGATCCAAGTTGGTACAACAGAAACTGACTATTCTACAGCCTGCGCACGTCGAGCCGCGAAGCGTTTGATGAGCTAGCGTGAAGGGGAGAAGGACAGCGTTTATTCCATCATAAGTTGGATCATGTTGAATCAAAAGTAACGGGCAACCGGGCAAAGACTCAAACCAGAAATATTACGGCGGCATGTGCCGCTCCGGCGACATCTCGAACATCCTCGGCAGGTGGAACTCCCCGAAGGAAATAGACGCCAACCCGAGTCCGGAGAGACGAATGACGCCTACCGAGGCGTAAAAGCCGAGTCGAGGGATGGCCAGGTTGGGATACCTGGCAGGGTCAACCTCTTGTAGGCGCCGTTCGTCGGTGCAGGCCCCATCATGGCTTGGACAAGATTGGGAGGCAGCTGGAGACGGGACGGATTTCTTCGATAAGACAAAAGGGGGCAGGTAGCGCTTGCTGTGTTCAAAGTCTGCAAAGCGACAACCTCAACCAAGGTTGTCTTGGACAGTCACGAGCTAGCGATACTGTGTACAATCAGGTCATTTTGTGGATTTTGATCGATGAGGGGCATCGACCAGCTGGCTATCATCATTAAATAGTTAGGGATATGGGACTGACTTTCACCTCCATCTATTCACGCTCGTCACGCCTGTGTGAGATTTTGGCTAATTTGTGAATCGTCGGCATAAATTCTATAGTGGCTCTAGGGGCATCCTGAGTGACACGAACCTCCGTTGTCAAGAAACAATCTAGATATCTATGGGATTGGTGATAAGACACGCGGGATGAAAGTAAGGCAACTGCTGAGACTTTACGTAGATGCCTATTTCAATGTTCGACCTAGGCAGGAAGGTATCTTGGGGGGGAGTACCCCTTTTGGCTGTGATATCTGGGCCGTGGCTCCTGTGCTTCTGTCGTCGTCGTCTTTGTCGTCTAGCTTCTTCCCGCGGCAGGCAGGTGCCCCTCCAAGCCGCACGTAGGCAGCCCCACCTTCCGCCCGCAGCTTAGGTACCGGGCCAGTGACATCAACCTCTTTTTTTTGCGCGACCCGCCTGATACCTTCCCTTTTCTGACCTCGCCTCCAAATACAACTGGTCCCGCCGTCGTTCCGACTTTTACCCATCACCAAAAAAACTTACAACAGGTCAATCGGCGGAGGGTTCAAGCAGCACAAAAATGGAGAGCCACGACGAGTCCGACCAGCGCGCTTCGAAGCGTCTTAAGGTGGACGACTCCTCGGCGCAGGTCGGCGGCGTCCAGGATGCATCTGCCGCCGTCGTGACCGAGGCGCAGGCCCCGAGTGAGGAGCGTGTCGCTGTCGATGAGGCTACGAAGCGTGTGGAGCCAATTGCCGCGAAGGAGAACGGTGAGAAGGCGGCGGAGGTGAGCAATGGTGATGTCGCTATGGCCGATGCGCCTGCCGAGAAGAAGACGGACGACAAGGAAAAGAACGACAAGAAGACCGACGACAGGGACAGGTCACGTGGCACTGCTCCCATTAAGGCTGAGTGAGTTTTACCATCAACCGAGTCCCGAGTACCATTAACCCGAAGACAGGTTTCTGATCCACAAGGAGAACCAGTCAAGAGATCAGGATGAGGTCGTTGATGATGACGACGCCGCTGAGGGCCGTGGTGAGGGTAACGAGCAGAAGGGAGACGCTCGCGACAACCGCGACAAGAAGAAGAAGCGCGAGAAGCGTGAGAAGGGTCAGAACAAGGAGCGTAGTTTCGGCCACTTTGACGATGCCCTCCGTCTCTGCAACAGCCGTGCCTGCACCTCTGAGTTCTCTCCGCGCGAGTGCAGATTCGGTGACAGATGCAACCTCGTCCACGACCTGCGCAAGTACCTTAAGGAGGGTCGCCGCGAGGATCTCGACACCTTCGCAGGCAAGTGCCCTGTCTTCGAGGAGTGGGGCATCTGCCCTTCCGGCTGGAAGTGCCGTTTCGTCAAGAGCCACATGAAGGAAGTCGAGCACGAACACGGCCGCAAGGAACTTGTTCTGGTGGAGGAACCCAAGAAGACTACTGGCGATGCTCCTGTTGAGGCTGGACGTGAAGATCTCAGGCCGGGTGTTTATAACAACACCGAGAACCAGCTCAAGATTGACCTCAGCCGCAAGCGGATTGACTTCACCGAGACGGACAAGTACATCACTTGGATGAACAAGGACACGAGGTTGGGCGATGAGTTCCACCAGCGCCGCAAAGATCAGAGGATTGGCAACAATGACGACTTGCGTGCGCAGTACGTCGAGCCGCCCCTGAAGCCGTCTGAGAAGCGCAGGCTTTACTTCGGCAAGGAGACGCCCGCCCTGGCGCCCCTGACTACCCAGGGCAACCTTCCCTTCCGTCGACTCTGCGTCGATCTTGGTGCTCAACTGACCTACTCCGAGATGGCTCTGGGCATGCCCCTTGTCCAAGGAGTAAAGAACGACTGGGCCCTCATGAAGGCTCACGAAAGCGAGATCAGCCCGCCTAAGGTCAACCCTGAGAGCGCCAGCATTGTGAAGGGCTACGACAACTCCCGCGATCTGAAGTTCGGTGCTCAGATCTCTGGTAACCAGGCCTGGCATTGTGTCAAGTCTGCCGACCTCCTCAGCAGATTTGTCCCTCACCTGCGTCTCATTGATCTAAACTGCGGCTGCCCTATTGACATGATCTACAAGTCTGGTGGAGGCTCTGCTCTTCTGGAGTCCCACGGCAAGCTTGAGCGCATGGTTCGCGGCATGAACACGGTCTCTGGAGAGATCCCCATCACGGTCAAGCTTCGCACCGGCGTCAAATCCAACCGCCCCACGGCCTCTTCCATCATCGGCAAGCTCGCCTTCGGCTCCCGCGAGAACCGCGAACGTGCAGGTGCTCCTGGTTGCGCCGCTATCACCCTCCACGGCCGCAGTCGCGAGCAGCGCTACACCAAGAAGGCCGACTGGAGCTATATCGCCGAGTGTGCCGTGATGATCAAGGATTACAACGAGCAGAAGGACAAGCTCACCGATACGGCTCGGGAGCCTGACGAATCCACCCTTCCCAACTCCAAGGACGGCCGCATGTTCTTCCTCGGCAACGGTGACTGCTACTCCCACATTGAGTACTATGAGCACATCGAGAAGGCCAAGGTCGATACTATCATGATCGGTCGCGGCGCCCTCGTCAAGCCGTGGCTGTTTGAGGAGATCGAGAAGGGCCAGTACCTCGACAAGTCGGCCACGGAGCGTATCGCCTACGTCGAGAAGTTTTGTAGATTCGGCATGGAGGCCTGGGGCACGGATGAGCTGGGCATAGGATTCACCCGCCGCTTCCTGCTCGAGTGGCTCTCCTTCGCGCACCGCTACGTTCCTCTCGGTCTGCTGGAGCACCTCCCTCCCGACCTCAACGACCGCCCGCCTGCGTACCACGGACGCAACGATCTGGAGACCCTTCTTGCCAGCAAGAATTACCGCGACTGGATCAAGATCAGGTATGTTGTCCTAAGAGAGGTCTATGTTTATATCTGCTAACGACCGTGACAGTGAAATGTTCCTTGGACCTGCTCACCCTAACTTCACCTTCCAGCCCAAGCACAAGTCCCACGCCTACGAGGCCGAGGGTTAAGGTGGTGATGACATGAGAAGATGATGTAGACACGGGGATAGGTACAAATGGAAAAGAGAGACCTTGCTACCTTTGGCTTTTTTAACGAAGATGACGCATGTTCGAGGGCATTGCCAGGTTGGGGAACATCACGAAAGCAGAAGTTGATGTACCCCAGAATTAAAATGGGCTAGACAAAATCAAAAGTCATTTCACGATCACAAATGAGGCGTTAAAATGAGGTGTTCTTTTTGACTTAGTAGCGACCCTACTTTTCGTCCCTCGTCCCTGTTGATCACATCCATGACGTCCTTAATGTTCCTATCGTTGTTGTCGGCCTTGTTGTCCTCGTTAGTCTTATTCAGTTATTCGCTGAGCAGTGGAAGGGTTACGGTCGGGTCACGAACTTCTGGTCAAACATCGAATAACGCAGGTTCTATTCATCTTGGGCATAACATGGCAAATTGCTGCTTCCAGACGTATTTAAAGGCCCTGAAGGAAAGATCTTACGAACAGCCCACCGCAATTCGAGTCGGTGTAAAGGGTGTAGTTCTCGTCGTGCGCTCAACCTGCGTTCAACAGCTTACGAAACATTTGACCTTCCTCCAGACGAAGCTCATATGAACCTTGCAGCCGACACCGTCTAGTGCGTCGAGTTCCCAGCATGAGTCTGAAATTATTCATTGTAGTATTCGTACAGGAGATGTCATCCACGTTTCCGAGCATAACTTCCAGCCTGGGGCACGTTGGAGAGGGACGTCATGACCACTAACGCGTTTATCAACTCCAAGCAGCTGCAAACTTGGTTCTAATTGGCTGCCTTTGGCTTAAAGAAATAGATCGGTCGTATGTGATTGATCCTGATATAGAGATTGAGAACCATCGCCGCCTAGAGTGGTCAATCATGAAGTTTTCCACGTCACGCCGCCCACCAGGCTGAAACTCCTGAGTCTCCCATTCTTCGTCGGCGTCTATCAATAATGACCGGTTGCCACTCAGTGAATTCGAGATCGATTTGTTTGCTATTTCCGTCGGCACATTGTGAAATCTTTCGACGAATTAGTCCCAAGCCTGCATTCAAGGATTGAGACTTGAAGGCAGTCGCGTCACCTCTGCGCATTCTTACGTACCCAGCTTCTGGCTGCTGACATTGTTCTGCGTGTCACTCTTACTAGATTTTTCAGTGTCTCACACGGCCTTGTGCTTATTTCATGACGTATTGGTATCAATACTGGCTTTTGGGGGACGACTTCCTGTCCCTTTCTTCATGGCAAAACCACAGAAGTTTAGCCCTGGCGATGGATCTTGACCGCAAACAAGTCTGAAAGATCCATGCCTCAGACTTTGTCCACCGGGATCCAGTTGATCAGTGGCTAGGCAACATTTGGTTTCGATACATGACCCTTTTAGATTTATCTTTATATGCCCGTCAAACACTAGGGCTTAATGGAGATGCAACACTTCCTGCTAAGTGGAATCGTCTCTATGTTTAAGGAGCACACGGCAGCTATCGAACTCCATCGCCAATTATGCCCTATATAGACTCGTTCTACCAAGTGGAAGCTAGTTGAAGCACGAGTGGCAATGACCAATTTCAACCCCAACACCGTTGTTCAAGTGAAACTTGCTAACGTCCTTCCATCTCTCTACAGTGCCGGTGCTGGCTGAGTAAAGTGACTGAATACGCGCGAAGCAGGGCTGAAGCGTGATGAGTTAACAATTGTATACCTTGCCGTTGTTTCCGAAGGCGACGAGAGAATTCCACACAAGATTCTGATATAGAAAGAATCAGATGCTCGCTCTTGCTCGAAGGATTTGCTGCGTCTTTCTACAGGTGCATCTCATAGTCGACTCTCTTAAGTACTGTTATTCCACATACGTCTATTACAACTTGGCTCCAAGCCTAGTGATTGTGTCCAATTTTCAAGAGATGTTTTATTTAAAGTCACATAGGCTTCTCTCTCTCTCTCGCTCTCTCTCTCTCTGAGGGCAACAATCATCCCTTCCGACGCCCTTTTCAATCTCCAGATGCAAACTCCCTCGCAGAGAGTCAGTCTGGTAAAATACGTATTGACTGGCAGTTTGCTAAAGTAATTTAAGTACATTGCCTAGCATACTGGTTTCCTGATCTTCTAGTTCCCTTGAAGTATTTCTCAGGCATATTAACGACGGAAAAGGCCGCGTCAGTTCAATAAACTATGCTGCTGCTACTGCCCTCATGATGACTTTGACCTTCTGGTAGCTTTGATATGAGTTGCTGAAGACGAAGCACATTCAGACGCATGATTTCTTCGGTTCTGAGTTTTCACTTACATTCTAGATGGATGGGTTTATATATCTCAGCCGTTCTTGATTTTCAGGCAGTAGACGGACACTCACGCACGGTTTATACCAGTTATCCTCACACTTCTATGATGTGAGCGTTTCCTAACCAACGTCCAAGAGATGATTTCTAGAACGGAGATCTCACTGAATAGTCGGGTTCTGCATGCCGACATGATCCGTTCCCATCGTGGAGTCGACTTTTGTGATTCTGGTTGTGACCGCCCTCCATCTCTGTCCATATCTGCGCTAAATACAAGCAAGCCTCCAATGTGGCGTGGAAGATCTAAGCACAGCCAACTGCCAAGGTGTGGCTATCAAGGTGAGCCCGAAAGGTTCCTGTAACATACAAACTCTACCAGGAAGAACTTCTTTTCGGAACAGAACACACAACATACAACACAAACAGGATACGAAGATCGATACCACCATCCTTACGCACCTTTCGATCATTAATGATGTGGCCAACGGGATTCCCCCCTACCTCCCAGGAGTATTTCGAAAGCTTCCTTTTGACTGAACCCGGCTCATCCATCGCCTCCGGGATCGAGCCTTGCTTCAACGAGTATGTCGAACGCTACATGTACCCTGGATTCGGCCAGCACATGGTGATCAGTCCGTCGTCATACATCGCCTACGAGATGGAGTATGGCCAAGAGCCGTACGCAAACCAGACGTACCCTCTGCCATCCCAATCGACAAGCTACAAGCTCGCCTCGAACGAGGTCAACAAAGATTTGGACTGGCCCGAGGGCGTCAATATCGACCCCTTGATAGCGGCGATATATCGCAACGCGACGAAGAGCCCGCTTTGCGGCCTCCCTGACCACATCTTGGTCAACATCATGCAGCAAACGGATCTGACCACCGCCTGCCAACTCCGCCGCGCCTCGCGAACATTCATGAGGATCTTCTCTTCGAGGCTCTTCTCAAAATGGCATAAGAACGGCGACGGGTACGGCTTTTTATGGAAATCGCCTTTCCAGGCCAAGGGCTGGGTGAAAGCTCTCTCTTTCGCGGCGCCACAGACAAGAGGATTTTGCAGAGGCTGCAAAACCAACCGCACGCCTAGAAGTTGGTTGTCTGATCGCGCCAGAGCTTTCCTGTACTGTTCTGGCTGTGACCGACTCCATCCGACGAGTGTCTTCTCCATTGCGGAGCGTCAGAAGAGGTCACATTCGAGAGTCTGTATCGGCGGAGAGGGCACATACGCTTGTGCGAACACAAGACCTTCACATGGGACGATTTCGTGAGAGTATCTTCGAATACGTCACTTCCGGCCTCGAGAAGAAAGAGTGTTTCCACCATCACTTGCGACCATGCTAGTCACAAAGAACGGGTTGAAGAGGTGAAGGCGGAATTTCAACACACGAAGGGCAACGCTCCCTGGGCTAGTCAAGTGGCTCTTCTGAAGAGAAGAAGACATTTGCGTTTCCCCAATAGAAAATGCCCGGTCACTGCTGTCGAATTTCGACGCCGGATTGCTGAGCTGCGAGAACTATCACCTTGTTCATGGTACCCTGAAGAAGGCCCCCGACGGTTAGATCCTATGCTATGTTTTGACCCCAACTCTTGTCACTGTCTCCATTACGAAGGTATCGAGAGATACGGGATTCCAGTCCATGACCGAGTGGCGACCAAGAGTGATGCGGAGCGCCGCCGTAAGTTCTCTAGATATGATATGGGTACCAATGCTAACGGCAGGCTAGATAGTCACAAGTTCTACCGATGGACAACGGACGAAACTGCCTACTTTCAAGCTAGTTTCCGGAACTGCGGATCCCATAAACACTGCTGGGAATTCACCCTTGATCGCACGTTCGGTGCTTCGGAGGACTCGGGCCAGTTGAGTCCGTCTAGTCCCCAGTGGTACCTTGCGTTGGATCCTGCGTCCTACAACCTGAAAGACGACACTGAATTCAAAGAGATAACTTGGTGCGAAGATCAGGCTTGCCGCAATTATTGTGGTCTCCGAGAACATTCCAGCCTTGGAACAACATGCTTGAAGGACCGGGAACTCGTCTAATACAATAAAAAATCCCGACCCAGGGGGTCTGCTTGTATCGTATGTGAAGATCGAGTAACCGACTGAAGGCCGGATGGCATCTATTACACGGCCGAAAAGTTCAACGAGAATTCCAAATGGATTGAAATGGCAAACCTCTTACCCCGTACTGACCGGACTTACGGCTATGAAGGATGTTCGCACGTTCTCGGCATCAACTGGGTCGAACAGCACAACAACCGCATGTGAACATCAAATCCTGCTGTTCAACCGGATGATTATGTTGATCACCTCTGTTGTGTCAAGACGAACGAATTTTCCTTTCCTCTCGTCGTCGGTTGCTGTCTCCGCTGGTCCATGTCGTCCGTATTCGTCTATAGCGTTGTCGTCTTCGTCGTCTTCGTCGTCTTCGTCGTCTTCGTCGTCTTCGTCTTTCGGGGACTTACTTGAAACCTTGCGGCAAGTTAGGGTCAAGAACATTCAAGATCGAAACAGCGTCGATCGTGGTCAGGATAAATCTCGAGGGCGACCAGAGAACCTCATAATAACATGAGCATTTGGAACGTGGTAGCAGTCTTTACACTACTTGCTGTGTAAACGGTATGGAATCCACGATGGGAGGGTCATGTCCGCAAGTGTGTCTTCGTGACGGGCTATTCCCAACCGCCTAACGCCAGTCGCAACTTAACCCAACTGTGAGACATCAGTAATTTGACCTGATATATAGTTTGCAGACGTAAAGTTTGCCTGGGTACTTATACTGATGAGACAGTGACGACCCTTGTGAGGCGTCAACTACGTATTTCAAGTAACCATATCATGGCACAGACAGAATGAACAAAGACATTTCATCTTGGACTGGATCCAATTGCGTCGAAACTCAAAGCTGATGTATAGCTAAACGCCTCGCCGTGCCGGCGAACCTTCCTAATCTTTACACCAGTTGGATCTTCAGAGCTGTCCAGCTCCCGGCCAACCCTCACCTCATCACCACCGCGGGTCAAATTTTATTCCATAGTCGTCTTCCGCTTAGAAAAAAGTCGTCAAGTCGATTTGCATTAAGGCCTTTTACTGTGCCTTCTTGTCGCCCTTGGGCTGCGTCTGACCGTACTGCTCGGAGAGCTCGTCGTAGCTCTTGTGCAGGCCGGCGCTCTGCTTCTTCAAGGTCTCGATGTCGCGGTCCTTCCTCTCGAGCTCCTTCTTGAGCTTGGCAATCTCGCCAGCGTCACCGGCAACGGCGAGCTTCTCGCTCTGCTTGGTGTTGCCCTGGGTGCCCTCGTAGCTGCGAACCTTGTCCTCAAGACGCATGACCTCGAGGATCATGACATAGGTGCGGTTGAGGATCAAGGACAGGAAGAGGGTGAAACCACAGAGGTACATGTTACGCTGGGAGTAGAACTTGCGGGCTTGCACTTCGAGGCGCTCATGGCCCATGACGGCGGCTCTGTGGCAGAAATTGTTAGTGAGTCGATTGTCCTGAGGGGCTCCTTGAAGGTGGGCATTCCAAGGGAGAGATTGTGGAAGGGGGGCAATGATGTACGCACCCGCTGTTCTGCTTCTCGGTAGCAAGCGCCAGCTCGACCTGGACGCGGTAGACGCGGTTGACGCTGTCGATAAAGAGAATGAGGATGAAGACAAAGGTGATCTTCATCCAGTACTGAACCTTGGCGACGATGGGGCTCTCGGAGATGAAGCTGCGGAAAGGCCGGACGGTTAGCTTCGAGCTCTTTGGGAACGCAGCATGCAGAGGGAGCGGAGCGAGAGCACATACGTAAAGAGTCTACGCTTGATGGCGAAGGGAAGGGGCACGATCAGGAGCATGAACAGGCCCATCTCTGCCATGAGCAGCATGAACACCTAGATCCAGTCAGCGGCGGCTCTCCTCAATTGCCCCTCCCCGAGTGCAGGAGAGGCACGACGCCAGTGTTGTGCAAAGCCGAGACGTACGAGAGTGTAGTAGAGAGTCATCTTGACGATGCGGGGAAAGCTCAGCTTGTGAAAGGTTGGTCGTGTGCTTCCGGTCGAAGTAGGAATTGGTGGTTGTAGGAAAGAAACACTCGGAAGCCCAAACTGACTTGACCGACGGTGTTTTTGTGTGTTGAGCTGGCGAAAAAGTTGCGTGGGTATTGGAGATTCGGAGTGCTGTGATTTGTTGCGAGGGATGCGGCAGGCGGACTTGGGAGGAGCTGGCCTTTTGTACAATGTGCGTGAAAGGTGACGATGGTGGGACTGGATCCGTAAGGTAGAGGTGGCAGGACCACAAAGCGTGCCTGTGTCTGCCAGCAGGTAAGGTGCCTGTCTACTTTCCCTACGTGCCTGTCTGCCTACCTATGTTCGTGCGGACGAATACCTACGTAAACGTTACGGGGAGAGCTGAGCAACTGAACCTGGGCGGGTCCCCTCCCTCTGGCTGCGGTGGTCCTGTGTGAGGGACCTACTGCAGCTGGGAGGAAGCTACCGGGTACAGCAAAAAAGACGTAAGTCAACAACGTCATCGGTGGCTCGTGCGTCGACTGGACGGAAGCTGAGGGAAAGCTAAGGGTGCAATCTGCCTGATGCGGCTGCTGCGGCAGCTGCCGCCAGATGGATCCGGGCCTGGCCAGGCCATGTTGTGCCGCTGTCCGTAGGAGGACACCCGAATTGACTCCAGTCATCCAATCTGACGTCAATGTCGAGATGGCACGAGGAATGGGATAGGGCACACGAATCAGGTTTGGGCACCAAGCCACATCCTGTGGAGCCGCGTTGGCGCTGGTCTGGCCATGTCTGTTCTTCATCCACGCGGAGCATGTGCCTCATCACGGCCTATGTTTTCATGATCATCTTGTGCAAACATGTTGTATGCATTCTCTTCGCTATAGACAAAGACTGCTTCGTAGGCATTACCTTGGGTATTCATAGCATACTGAGACCAAAGTAGCCAACCAGCAGCAAACCGCTCCCAATGCCACGGGATCCAATCGTCAACCTGAACGCCCAGCTTTTAAAGTCCCAAAGGACAAACAACAGCCCCTAAACTGAATGCCAGAATCGTACACTCTTTACAAAGAAAATGAATGGCTTTATAGACGGGTTTTGCGGAGGAACTTGCGAAAGCCCGGTGAGAGGCTCTCTGGCACATGCTCAGATGAGCAGCTCTCTGTCTCCTACTCAGATGAGCAGCACTCGCAGCACTCTGGCGCGAAATCAGATGAGCAACTGTCTGGCGCCTACTCAGATGAGCGGCTCTCTGGCGCCTAGTTATAGAACACGCTCTTCTGGAAGCTCTCGGGCGACACGTCGCCAATTTTGGTCTTGATTTCCGGGGCCTTCTCTGGCACGGGGGCAGCCTTGATCGCAGCCAAAGGCTGTCCGGGTCGCTTAATAACCTCGAGGTAGGTCGAGGGAAGGTAGCCCATGCGGCCATCGCGAGCGCGGCATCTCCACCACTCACTGGGGTTGCCCATGGGGTCGCTCTTGGACAGAACGGCGATAAGTTCGCCCTTACGCACCTCCATGTCCACATCCTTGACGGCGTTGCCGGCTTGGGGCGTGAAATCGTACATTACGCGGCAGTAGTCAAGCTTGGAGGGGTCCAAGGCTTGTTGCTCGCCGGCAAGCGCCATGCGGCGGCGTTCTTCCTCCTCCGCAGATTGGGCCATGGTGTTGATCATCTTGCGCATCAGGTACGGGAGGCCGAACGCAGCAAGAATGAAGAAGAAGAGGGGCTTGCGAGAAGCCTTGGGAGGTCCTAGAGGAGCGCCATCGGGGCCGATGGGCGGTCGGCCTTCAAACTTGGCAAAGGCAGCGGGTGTAAGAGCCGTCGCATCGGCTGGGGGTGGACGGCCGGTAATCTTGGCGATGAGGGTACGGATCCAGCGCATCAGAGTGAAGATGCCCAGAATCGAGCCCAGGGTATCTCTGAGGTTACTAAACTGTTCCGCTACTGAAACCATGGCTATTTGCTTGTCAGTGACGTCTACTGTCGATGATCCGATGCTGAAACTTACCGAAAAAGCTGGAGTGTGTAGCCATATACGTGCTCTCCAACATCTGAGCAAAACCGCCAAAGGCGCCGACGATGCCCTCCAACATCTGGAACGTAGCCTGAGTGCTGTTGTTGAATCGATTCGTCAAGCTGTTCGGATCGTTGGGGTTTCCGGGCATGCCTCCCATGCCCATTCCCCCCATGCCGCCGTACATGCCTCCTCCGTACATGCCGCCGCCATATCCGCCATAACCTCCGTACATGCCGCCACCGTAGCCGCCGTAGGAACCCATCCTTGAGTACGGGCTGCCGTAAGGCGAAGAGTATCCGCCGCCGTAAGGGCTTGCTGCACCGATACCGGCTCCGAGTCCGGTCCGGCTGTATGCCGAGGCGTTCTGGTTGACCGCGGAGGCGAGAGAAGCTGGCCGCTCAGGGACAGTGGGCGCCGACGATGGTGAAGTCGTCGAAGCAATCGAGGCCGCCGGTGTCGGGGTCGCGATGGAAGCGGCGGTAGGAGCTATTGATGAAACCGTTAATAATCTCGATCTAGAGGCTGGATTGGCAATGTTGGTGCTGGTAGACGCACTTGACGCAGCGGTAGTTGCGCCGGCCCGTTCCCAAGGCTTTGGTGGTGATGCCATTTTCTTGTTTCACGATAAGGAAGAAGTTTTCCTTACAGTCGTTGGTGTCGCTCGGCGTTATCTCGCAATCTACCGGTCGGGGTTGGCTGGTGGCGACGTTGCCGTCTGCTGCTTTGTTTTTCTCTATCTCGAGCACCGGAAATGCGACGGATGATGGCTTTTCGCAGCCAGGTCGGATGGAAGATGGCAATCGACCTCGATCAGCTGCGATGTCGAAAGACGATCGGACGACGTTGGCGATGGTAGGAGCGGAAGAGAGGGGAAGGCAAAGTCGGGGTAGAGGATAGGAAGAGCGTCGCTGGGATGACGGACGCGGATTGGGCTGATAGTGCAGCAGACCTGAGTAATGGGGGTCAGTCGGCGGACGGGGTCGGGGACGCAGCCGTGCGTGCAGTTGCCAGTCGCAAATGCTGGCGGCAAGTGACCCGGGGCCTGTGCTTGGCGTTTACACTGAAAATGTGGAGAGGAAATGCGAAGGGCGAGGGTAGTAAAAGGTAAAAAAACATGGGGTCGGGGGTTCAGGTTCCATTTGCCTCGGTATGTCGGCCGGCGGCCTAGGCCTGGCTTACGCTGCTTCGTTGCCGCTGCTGCGCCGCCCATAGAACCAGGCCTCGGCATCTTTCATCAGATCGCAAAGATAGTCATTCAGGGTCTCAAACCGTTCTGGCGGTTTCGGACTTATGTCCGAAGGCTATTCGTTGCGAGACCACCAAGTCTTTGTGCTAGAGTAACTACTTTTCCTCGCTATCGTCGTTCCCGCCGCCGTCGTCCGCTGCCGTCGTCTCTAATCGTCTCGCTCGATGTCACTCTCGTCGCTTCGACTACCGTTGTCGTCGTCTCTAATCACTATGATTTGTGATCGTTCTTGATCGAGCTAAAGCTTCAAATTCACGGGTATTGACAACGTCGGAAACATAGCCGTGCAGATACAGGAAATTGTGGTCCTCTGCTCAGTGACTTGCAGCGAGATCCCCAGATCCGCATCAGCTACACGCGGCCGCCAATGACGCTGCAAAGGCGTGTCGTGCGTCGCCAGCAAACCGACCCTGTTTGCAACGAAGCACAACACAACACGTTTGTCACGATTTAAAGTGTCTAGACCATCTGAGTCATCAAGGGTTCAAAATCACAAGCTTCAATTTCTATCGTCCTATCACGTTTCTTCTCTCCCACCTCCACGCTCACTGCAGCCCGGCAAAAGCCTTGGCGTTCTTCACGTGCTCTTCCCACGTAGTCAGCTTGTCCTCGACAATGGCGTGCGACTCGTCCAGCTTCTCGCCGCCGTAGTATCCAAACTCATCCAACAGCCTCATGTTCTGCAGCATCTCCTCCGCCACGAAGTCGGGCATGCCCTGGCCCTTGAGCGCCCCGCGGAACTGGTCGTGCGTGAGCTGGTTGTACTTGGCCGTCTTGCCGGCCTCGGGGTACACCTTCTTGAACACCTCGACCGTCTCGCCGGCGGTCACGTACGCCGTCGCACCGAGCACGCGCTTGCCGAGGACCTTGTCGCGGTTCAGCACGATGCCCTTGACGAACTTTCCGGTGTCGGCCACCGTGTCGAAGAGCGGGATCGGCGCGGACGCCGGGATGGGCAGGTTCACGGCCCACGCGTTGTCCGGAGGCGTCTGGCGGAACATGCCGCCGGGGAAGTTGGACATGTAGAGGCCGGGGAGGAAGAAGGTCGAGGGGAGGGAGAGGGTCCGGATATATTCCTCAACAGCGGCCTTGCTATCAAAGTGGTACACGTCTGGAAGGACGCCCTTGGAGACTGTGAAGGTTTTGTTAGTGAGTTGCGTTATGCCATAATGTGGAAGCTAACAAACTCACGCTTGTTGATGTCGAGCAGAGAGCTGAAGATGAAGTGCTGGACGCCGGCCTCCTGCGCAGCGTCCGCAATATTCTTGCCCTGCTGGATTTCCAAGTCTGCCTTCTTGTTAGAAAGTGTTGTCTCGCAAGCCGAGTTGATAAACCCACCCTTGTCCAGCTTATCCCAGTAGTTGGTCACCGCGAAGACGGCAGTGGCACCCTTGACAGCAGCTGCCAACGACGCCTTGTCTCCAAGATCGGCCTGAGTGGTAGAGGGTTAACTTCTTGCCTCGTAAATCGTTGGGTGAGGTAAGAATAGTCGAAACAACTTACACTGACAACCTCGACGCCCTTGGACGCCAAAGCCTTGGAAGAGTCCTTGGTGGTGTCACGGGTGACACCGCGGACTGCCCACTCTGCCTTTAGCTTGGGATCGTTCAGGAAGATGTTGACGACGCTGCCACCCTGGGCACCAGTCGCTCCGAACACTGTGATGATCTTCTTGGACATTGTTGATTCTGATTTGCGTAATTGCTATGCGCGGGTTTGTTTTCGTAGTTGGAATAGGTTGGACTGAAGCTTGTGCTAGCTGCGTTATCAAGTCAGGATGGGGAACCTCCGGTACTTGTACGACGATGGAGTTCGGACGGACCTGAGTGCTTCTATGCGTGGAACGTCTCACAATTCAATATCTGAGTGCCGATTGGGAACAAGATTGTAAGACAATGATATTTGAATTGCTGATGCTCTTCTGCTTCGTCGTCATTGAGGGGCAGCGTCGTCGCTTAATATACCCCTCGTCCAAGCACTCCGGCCTGCTTGCTTGCCAAGCACACACAGTCTAAGACATCGCGGTGCCAAAACCGCAGTAGACGCATCTCGACATAAAATACCGAATCAGGCAAAGACACTGGCGCAAGAGTGGCCACTCACGCTCCATCGCCCAGAAGAAAGTTCCGTCCAATACTGCAGACCCCGCGCCGCAGAGGTGCTGCGTGGCTGTTGCCCGCAAGCTTACTTACATGGTGGAGGTGCGTGTTGACCTAAGCAGACACTAAGCAGCGCCGGACTGCCCTCCGACACCCGAAAAGTCCGTCCGTCTGGAGCTGCACCTCGACGTTCCCGCACTTGGTCGGGCACCGGGGGACTCGTGGTGCTTACTCATGGCGCATACTCTGTACAACGGTGAAATCAACCAGTGGCACTGCTGGAGAAGCCTCATCAACGCGCGCTACGCTGGTTGGCTTGCCGCTGATCTTGGTCCAAGTAGAGCTTACCAATCGAACCAACATTAAACCACGAGCTTCCCGCCGTCTCCACCTGTACAGACGCGAGGCGCGAAACCCCGAATACAACACCATGGAAAGTTAGCAATCATTGAAAACAATTTCTCGAAGAAGACTTCAGAAACTGGAACTTTCTTTGCGTCGCAAGCCGATGATGTGAACTTCTATCTTGACGATGTCATTTGTCACAGTCGGGTAATTGGTTGGCTCGGACTTCCGATCACGTCCGCAGTCTCCAGCGCGAACTGCCTCTTGGCCTCGACCAAGAAGAAATGCTCCAACATCGATAGAACATTCATCAACATGTGCATTCTTTGCAGTAGGTGGAAGTGCTTGGGGAAAACCTGGTTTGCAATTCTCCGCAACCTACGGCGTGCGCCCTCAGAGAGCAGGCTGGCCGTAGGATCGAGAGGCGCTTCAGCCTGCACATACTACACCGTGAAAAGGCATCTTCCGACGTCTCGCGTCTGACGTGGTTATTTGGTGAAAAGCCACAAAGCTTGTGCCCTTGTAGCGCTAAGATAGACGGCTTCTCCGACAGAGGGAATTGCTAATATAGTCGCGTAAGTGTAGGACCAACGGCTTTCCCTCACCCGAGACATCACAACGAGGGGCAACACATCACGCGAACTGAACTTGTTTGAACTTTCGTATCGATTCAAAATCATCCTAATTGCTTGCAGAGAAGGACAAAAATGCATTCCTTCTCTAACCATGCCCCATCCCTGAAATCAAAAAGGCGCACTTTTCCGGGGCCGGGTATCATCTTGGACGCCGTCTAAGAGTCATTTCGTTTTGCAATCCCCGCCTGCCTCCCAAAGCGAGGCATCTTTGCTGTTCATCCCCGAATAAGGTATCAAAAGAAGTGAAAAAAAAAAGGCGTCGTTGAGTCATCAGATACCATGATCCAATGCAAGCAAGACTTGCTCGACTCGGCGAGCCAGAAGAAGAGAAATTTCGTCAAAAAGGGGTGTCGAAAAAACAAGGCCGTCCCAATCCCATATATGCAATCGTTGACCTCCCAAAATCTCATTCAAATCTTGGCGCTTTCCGCTTAGCTGGAGAGAGCGAACAAGCTGACCTTGTTGTTGCCGCTCGTGGAGGCGATGGAGGTAGTAGAGAGCCAGCCCTCAACCTGCTCGCGGGTCAGACCGGCAGAGAAGTCGACGCTGCTGTCGAGGACCTTGACAGAGACCTGACCGGAGTCGCCGTCGAGAACAGTCGCAACCTTGATAGGCTCGCCGGTGGGACGGTCAAAGTAGTCGGAAGAGCCACCAGGGACGTTGGAGTGGAAGGTGGACTTGCACTTGGTGTCGCCAGCAGCGAGAACCTCGAAGATGTCAAGCTCACCGCACGCGGGCCAGCAAGAGCAAGAGTTGTACTGAGCGGTGCGGGGAATCTTGGCGTTCAGGAACCAGAGGGCCGGCATGTCAGCGTTGAAACCGGCGGTACCGTCCATGGGCATGTTGAACTCGAAGAGCCAGACAGAGTCCTCGCCCTTGAAGCCGTGGTAGGCAACAGAGCCCGGGCGGTAGTATCCGCAGCTGCCGTCGGTGCACTCCTTGTCGCTGTAGATGGCGAACTCCTTGTTGGAGGGGAGGTAGACGGGGTTCAGGACCTCGGGAGAAGCAGCGCCACCGCTGGCATCAGAGTTGAGGTACGACAGAGAGTTACCGAAGACGTTGTCGAACTTGCCAGAGCCCTGACCACCGTAGTTGCCGAGGAAGACGAGGCCGTCAGCGACACCCTGGTCGGCGTTGTAGTAGGCAACACGGCTGTATTCGCCGCTGGAGCTTCCAGTGGAGGTGCTGACCTTGCTGGGGCTGGCCTTGCTGGAGCTGGAGGGCTTGGAGGCGGCGGCGGCAGCAATAACAGGAGGCTGAGAGACAGCAGCGGGAGTAGGAGTGGACGCCACGATGGGAGCAACAGCCGGAGTGTTAGCCACAGGGGCAACGTTCGGAGTGGCGGCTGGGTTCCAGTTGTTGATCCAAGACTGGACAATGCCGTCGATGGTAGCAGTGACCCAGACATCGCGCTTCTCCTCCTTGTTGTCATGAGCCTCAGCATGCTTCTTGTGCAAGTGGTGGTGACCGTGGCGGCGGGCGTGAGTGTGAGACACGGCGGGAGAACGCTTGGCGCTGGACTTGAGGTTGTACACGGCAACTTGCTTGAGGTTCATGGGACCACGGAAGAGAGGAGTGAGCTACGACGATGTTAGTACCTTTGTGCAATAAATCCTTTGGAAAAGATGGAAAGAAACTCACCTCCTCATTGAAGGGGGCCAAGGGACCAGAGAAGGCAACATCTTCAAAGCTGCAAGAGCCATCGTCGCCCATGTTAGATACAGCCTTGTAAGTGCCAGGGTGGCCGACGTTGGAGTAGAGGATCTGTTCCACAACGCCACACCACCAGTTACCACCCTCCTCGGTGGCAGTACCAGAGGAGCACTGTTGGAGAGCCTGCGCAACAGAGGCCGAAGCCAGGAAGACAGCAGTAGAAGGCTTCATGGTTGTTCGCAAGACGTTCTTTGGAATGAGCGTTAGATGCTGAGATTGCTGGGAAATTGCGTTCGTTCCTTGAGTATTTGACCGGCCTCAAAGAGAATCGCAACTGGCGGGTAAGAATGTTTCTGGAATCTTTTGAGGGTTGTTCGACGGCCCAGGCTGTTCTTTGACTCAACCAGGAGGCTTGTGACTGGGTGGTGTTGGAATGTGAAGTACTCAGTGAACCCTGTTCAACGGTGTGGTGTGGGATGTGAATCAACGAAGCGTTGGTGCGTCGGAAAAAGGAATGTCTGGTGACTATGTAAGTCTCCAAAAAAGGAAGGGCGATGCTATTCAGTGTCCGGCAGGTCGGAACAGTGCACCAACTTTGTTGTTGATCGTGAGGATGGAAGAAGGGGAACCAAGAGGAGGTGGGTGAGGGCAGGCGGGAAGGTTAAGTAAATAAATTGGCTGAAGGAGAGGAGGAAGAGAGAAGGATTATCTCGGGGGACAAGGTTAATGGAGGTGTGGGATGGAGTGCTCCATCTGGGAAGGCAGGCAAAGAGGAGACCGGTCCCGTAAGGCAGGAAGCAAGAAGCAACGACCAGGTGGACTTGCCCTGGTGGAAAGCAGGAACCAACAGGGGCAGGAGGGATGCAGGAGCAGGAGTCAAGAAGCACCTTCCCAAGTGAATGGAGTGCAGCTCTACGGATACGGATACTGCCACCCCCTCCTTTCCTCCTTCCTTCCTCTCGAGTGAATTCAACTGCGAGGTGTGGGTTGCTTCCTGCAAAAGAAGGGGCCAAGAACACGAACAGAGAGGCAAAAAAAGCCGTTGGATAATTGGACGAACAGGGAAACAGAACAGAGTTGGCCAATCCGCTTGTCAGGTTCAATTGAAACAACGGCTCGGCCGCTCATGGGGGTTGTACCTTGCAGCGCCTGGAGGTCTGGGCAGGGGGGGCTGAGTTAATTGCACCTCTCCCACTCACCGTGTCACCCAACTCGCTCTCGACTCGAGGTACATTCTCCTCCTCTCTTCCATCACCGCTCCCTTCGTACCTCCTCCGATGTAGTCACCGAAGCGGCCACCACACTGGGCCTTCAGAGGTGAGCGAGTCGAGAGCAGCCCACCGGCTGCGCCAAGAGCCAAGTCAACCCGCCCTGCTCTCATCGTCCAGGTCCCAATAGCATGGCCAACCACCGACTGGCACGAAAGCTGGGCTTCCTCGGCGTTCTGGGCTCTAATCTCAACCTAAATGAGAGACCAGCTGGCTTTCCTGCACCATCGTGACTACGTTTCTGTCATTGCTTCGCTGCCCTTGGGAAAAAGTGCAGCCTCGAAAATGACATCCGGGGCAACCAAGAGACCAGCTGGCTGTCCAACATAGCAACGAGACGAACCGCCGCTGACCCAAAAATATAGGGCGAGACCGGTCGAGCTGGATCGGCGGACCAACGTGCAAAACGGTCTACAGCAACAGCTTCACTGGCTCTTGCCTAGGGTCAAACTGCGCTCGCGAATCGCACACTGCTCAGACAACGGCCTCCGCATCTATCCTGGTGGCTGGTGGGATTCTGCACCAGAAGACTTGGGGTCCGGCGCGGATCTATTCTTGATATCGACACAAAGAAGATTGCGACAGAGCAGAACTACTGGAAACCACAGTCTGGCGCCTTGGCTTGCCGTCTTCTTCAGGCGGTCCAAGAAAAGAGCCAGCGCCAGAATAAGGCCTGTGAGGTGCCAAACAGCGCTCTCGGGCCCTCTGTTCTCGCGGCCAGGGAATATCGATCTCCGCCCATTTCGGGGAATTTGGGGGTGGCAGTGTGACAGCCTTGGGCCTCCAGCTCTGCGCTGACCTCGCACCCGGCAAATCAAGCTTACCGTGGTGTGAGCCGGTCGAGTCCACGGTGTGCGCCCATCCGGAGTCTGTGGGGTGCCTTTCTCACCTGGGTTCATCTCAATCCCGGTGACAATGTCGAGCTTCCATCCCATCCCTCAATCTCGACCATCAGATGTGCCAATCACCTCGCTCGGCCACTGTCAACAACCCACAGCGCGGCCCATTTCATCCGATGTTTAATCGCGCAGCGCCCTCACCTGCCGGCCACATCCCAACTCACCGTGCCGTCGAGCCATGTGCTGATACCGCGGAAGATACGGGTTGGACGTTTTTGCTTTTGCCCTTTCCCCGTTCACACGCGGCAGAGCAAATGACGATCACTCCGCTCCTGCTCATTAACCCCCAATGTCACTCAGACCAGCTAGAGCGTTCGAGATCCGCTCTGGTGACGGATGCTTTGGTTGCCGGCCCAGCATGGGAAGCAACAAAAAAACAAAAACCTTGGACGAGCGGCCCGGGGTCGAAACAAAATTCCAAGCGAGAAGCAAAAAAGTCAATTATTCAGAGGCAACGAGAAAACCGCTCAAACGGCCCCATGGCCCCCGCGTTGTAACGTATCGCGGTGGACGGGATTGGTTCTCCCCGCGACCACGTCGACGTCGTTGGTCCGCAAACCCCGTCGTGGGACTCGGGGCAATATGCTGTAGCCTGTGTGGCAAGGCAGAAGGAACAGTGAAAACAAAGTCAAACGAGACCCAGTCTCTTGAGGCCGGAACCTGACATGAGACGGCGAGTAAGAATTATTTCCAGTCGTCAGCCGGCAGCGCCTATTTTACCCAGAGAGCAAGTCGAAGCGGGAGCTGAGAATCCTCGACGAAGGACCTTATCATCACAACATTTGGGTTGGCTGTTCCTGCATTAGCGGAACCGCTCACCCGCGACGATTTGGTTGGCTGTTTTCCAACTCTGTCTGCAGTGATGCACTCTATTCTTACCGTGGCGACTCCTTATTCGACGACATCTGCCCGTCGCGCCTGCGACCTCAGGATGCACCACCTTCACATGCCGGCATATCAACCGGGGTTCCGTCGACTCTCGAGGCACAGGAACTCTGAGAACGACAGCAGCACGTTTGCGCCTCGTCCACGAAGACATCACCGAGTCGTGAGCGTCACCTCTTGGCCTTGTGGACCGACCCAACCCAAAAAATCTTGTACTTCTCCACGTTACATGCAGTGCAAGCGGAATGCTTCTCAGTCATCACCCGCCAACTCGCACGTCGACCCAGAATGATCTTCGCCTCGCAACTGACACCCCGTCACGTGGTAACGCAAGAGAATTTCAACGTCCCTCGTCCTCCGATTGGGGAAACTCTTGTGTGTCCCAGCTGCTGTACTTTTGGGCCTCGCACCCGTGCAGGTCAGGAATGTTCAACGGCGTACCTGAAAATCACTCTTTCCCACCCTCCTTCTAGGAAAAGAGCGGCCTGGATTGACGTATGGTTCAGCCCTGGCGGACCCTCCATCCACAACACTAATTGCCCTGCGGGACAAGCAGCTGGAGAGCAAAAAGTCCTCTCGGCCAAACCAATGCCAACTTGCATGGACACCACCGATTTTTCTCTCTTTTCTTTTCTCATGATGGTGCTTCGGCCAACTGCCGTCTGGAACGTGACTCACATAATTCTCAACTTTTTCCCACCCGTGGTCTTTTGCACAAACATCGCCACCGCAAAAGCCACGATACCATCTCCAAGACAGGGATGCTGAGTCGCAAAGGACTTCCCAAGACATACCGCCACTTCTCAGCCCTCGTCGCAAGGCTCGGAACAGCCACGCGAGTCCTCGGGATCGGGGGGTGTCCTGGATCGGGCGTCCCCTTGAGCATGTTCTCTGATGTCCACTTCACTGACCGCCAGCAAAGAACTGCCTGCAGTGACCGGGCACGACTTTCAGAAATCACAATCACACTCGTAAGACGAGAACGGAACGACGATGAACACAATAGTGACACATGGTATACATCTATAACATCTAAGCAGAAGCCTTGGCCTTCTTTCCCCTCCTCGGTCTAGCACCGCGAGAGCTCTGTTCCTCGTCAACCTCCTCCTCACCGTCGTCGACCACAAAGTCATCTTCTTCCGCAGCCACCGTCTTGGCCCTCGACTTTCTCTTCCCTGTGGTCTGGGCCAGTGCAGCAGGCGCCTCAGCCGCAGCCTCGCCATTCATATTGGCCCTTAACCTACTGACAGCGTTCGCCATCCTCTTGCTCGTCGTAGTCTTCTGTCTCGGCGCGAAGGCATCTCTCGCGCCCACGCCCACAGATCCCTCGAAATACCGCGTGATGTTCGCCTGCGTACCCTCCACGTCGCGTTTATTCATGTCCCGAATGACAGGGACGAGAACCTCGTCGGTGCGCTCTTTGCTCCATCCAATGGTCGCCATCAAGAATTGTCTGAGGCCCTCGAGGTCTGGAACGCCCCATTGGAACTGCTCCGGGCTGCTGTCAACCTCTGGACGGAGATAGGCGTCGGTCACGGCCGGATTGGGGAAGCCCGTCGGCAGGAAGAGTTTCGTCGCCTGTGACTTGCGAAATTTTCGGCGGAAGGGATTAGTTGCGTCCGCTTCTTTGGGGCGGCTGTTCATCTGCACCTCTTGCCACCAGTCCCGGAACTTGGCCAGACCGTCCTTTCCGGGAAACTCGGACAGAATCTCCACTGCCGTGACCGGACCGACACCCGGCAGTCCTTCCGTGTAATCAGATCCAAGAAGCTGGGCGATGGCAATCAACTGGTCCCGCGACAGCGAAAGCTCCTTCTCCAAGTCAGAGCCAAGGTAGCACTCGACGAACTTGTTGCTGTTGAACATGTTCTTGTACACGCGGGTGCCCCCAAAGAGAAAGGTGTCGGAATCGTCGGTGACAATACCATCGACGAGACCGAGGTGCACGAGTTCCGCGCACTGCGCTTCAGCCTCCATCGGCGCTGTGATGTACGGGATACCAAACAGGCGGAGGAGGGCCTGGCACTCTGTGACCATGACCTGAGTAACCTCGTCTGCGTCACGGCGGTCCTTCTTCTGCTGTGTGCGGAGAGCCTTGAGCTCCCTTTCGTACGCTTCCTTGTTCTCAAGTTCGGACTTGTTGTTGAGCTCGCTGGCGAAACGAGCGTGCTCCTCGGCTTCCTGAGCCAGGTTGGCGTAGAGTTCTTCATCCTCGGGGTCACTGAACTCGTCGTCGCTGTTAGCGAAGACATCCGCTTCAATGTCCTGCACAGAGTCGCCGGCAGTGTTAGGGTCATCCAACGCAGGGCCATCCATGAGTTCCTCAAAAGTAAGTTCGGTCTCCTCGGCAGGCTTTGGCACTTCTGCGGCCGTCGTGATGTCTTCCATCTCTGGCTCTGGGGAGTCTGAAAGTTCTCTGACGGTGACTTGCATGTCCTCGTCGGCGTCGTCCACCTGGACGTCTTCAAAGTCAGGCTCGGGTGATAGTGAAAGCTTTGGAGACGGCGCAGCAACCTTGCTGGTGGTGAGCGCTGGTTGTGCCATATCTTCTGGCGACGCAACTGTTTCGGCAACAGGGCTCTTTGTTGTGGCGTCCCCAGCTGGAGACAGTACCTCTGGAGCCGCGGTCTGCTTGGGGGTTGGAGGAGCATCGAGAATCTCAACATCACTATCCTCGCTGTCAGAGGACTGAATCTCAATAAGCTGGTTCTGTCGCTGGCGTTCAAAGCGGCGCTCTTCTTCCAGCGCTGCATCTCTATCTTCGGTATTGATGTCCCTCTCAACCTGTCGCTGTTGTTTGATGGATTCACGAATGTCTGAGTCATCGACCATCCAGGGTGGCAGCGGCCTAGGCCCCTCTTCCTGCGGTTCTCTTTGGAAACCACCTTCGTCATCGTCGTCCACGTGCTCGCCATTAGCAGCCTCAATGATGAAACCGCCGCCAAGGTCTGCGTTCTCAATCTCTTGAGTTGGTTTCTTCAAATTCAGCGGAACCTGCGTAGTCGGAGCTGGCTCCGCGGGCTTTTTTGCTGGCTGGGCCTTTTTGGAAAACATAGAAAATCCCAAGTCAAGCTTCGGGAACGGCAAGGGCCCATCAAACGGGTTCTTGACGTTGGGCACTGCCGGCTTTGGTTGAGCTTTCTTGGCCTTGCGAGACGCTTTAAGAGCCGCTTGCAAGTCCATCTCATCGTCGCTGCTGCTGGTATTGCTTTGCCTTCGTTTGGGCACAGCGGCGGTAGATCTGTTGTTGACTATGTGAGCAACCATTCGTCCGCTTGTGGCAGTGATGCGCTTGGGAGCTTCGACGGCCTTTTGCTTCCATTCGGGCATTTCGACGTCCTCGAATTGCTCCTCTTCTTCTAGGTCTTCAGCATTTTGCCCGTGCTGGGATTGCAAAGACATAGCAATGGCACGGTTGATGTCGTCTTCCTCCTCCGGGTGCAGCCGCTCTTCGCGTTTCTCGCCATTCAACCTCTCGTGTTGTTCAGGCAGGTCTCCACCGACAAAGAGAGTATCTTCTTCCTCAAACAGACCGTTGACTTCAGCTTCTCTTCGGCCGTCATAGAATTGCTGTCTCCTGAGTGCTGCATCCCTCGATGCCTGTGAGGCGGCCGTCGGCAACCGGTTGAGACCCTCAACAGGAACGTCTTCGAAGTCGCCATCGTCATCGGATGCTTCGGCCTTCTCCTTTTTCTGAAATTGAAAGTCCAGAGCATCGACATCAATAGGCTTGTGAGCTTCACCCAGATCTTTCTCCTTGCTCACGACACCCAAAGCCCAACCGCCCTCTGCTCCTTCGTTCCTGACCAGAATGTATTCCCTATCCTTCTCGCCAGCGATACGGCCACCCCCATTAAGGGTAAGATCGAGGCCTGTCATGCCGGCTTCCTTCATGAGTCGCTGAGTGAGATTGTTTCTTTCTTGTACACGTTCAATCTGGAACCGAGAGAAGTCCATTCTGTTCGGGAACATTTCGTCCAGCTGCTCCTTGCTGAGACCCATTCTCAGACGACTGCGTAGCCTTGCCGCATTCAAAATGTTGTATCTGTCCGCCGGCGGCAGACTCTTGAAAAACTCGCCGTCAAAGTCGATCTTGCTGAAGTCGTAGAAGTTGATGTCCTCGCCGTTGTGAAACTGCCTTGCATATTCCTCCAATTCCTCGATGCTCATGATCCTAGGATCATCCGCCTTCGCCATCGAAGCAATGTCGCCATCGAGTTCCGGCAGGTGGTACGCGTCTTGCTTGAAGAACTTCCTTCCGCGCTGGCGTTCCTGCTGCGACATGCCCACCTCGTCAACGTACACAATGTTATCCACATCAGGAATCTCCTCCTGCGGCTCCTCGCGCTCCCGACGGATTCCCCTCTCAGCATCACGTCGCCTCTTGTCTTCCTCTTCCTCAGCAATCCTTTGCATCTGCACGGCAAGAAGCTTACCCGCCGTGCGGACAGCATCTTCCCTGCGTCCCTCACGCCGTCGCTTACGGCCCTGGATCGTCTGTCGCTTGAGAACAGGGGCACCGCCATCGAAGACGAAGACGGGCTTGATTCCGAACCAGAGCAGCTTGCAGATACGACGAAAGAAGCCGACAACGTGAGAGTTGCGCAGCGCATTGCCTTCCTTGTCGCGCACGGCTTTCAGGAATTGGTATATCCAGATGGAAGCATCGACGGCGAGTCGCTTGCGGTTGAGTGTTGCGAGGTTCGTCGGTCGCGCGCATGGCTGAACGACCGTCCAGAGGCCGTTCACACCCATGGCTGTGAAGGGGGTTGTCGGACGAGGGTAGGTTCGGTCTGTTCGGGATTCACGGGGGTGTTCGGCTCAGCGAGGTGCGAAAGGGCACGAGAAGCGGTCTTCTCATCCACCGAGTGGATATCGCATTGTCGTTGATAGGCGCAAAGTCCCGGTCTACTCAAGAAGAGGCAGCTCTCGAGTGTTGGATTGTAAAAGTGTTATGAAGTTGTGACTCTGTGAAAGAGGTGGAAGGCGGTGGCTGCCTGCAGACAGGCATGCCATTTGACATGGGGGAGCTCAGGTAATGACGCGCTTTCCTCCACTAGAGGCGTCGTTATCGGTTCTTATCTAGTGGCCCCGCAGTCGGAAGTACCACTGCGAGCAGACTTGGGAACCGCCTTGACGACCTAGCAAGCCTGGGTCGGCATGAATGACAACCTGCGAACCAATCTCTCTTCCTCTCACCATCTGACCTAGAGACTCAGCACGGAGGCTGGGAAAGGCGATGAATACAGTCGTTACTGCTTCGCTGCAATGGACAAAGAGGAGGCAAGAGACTTCTTGACCTCGCTTCTCAACAAGAACTTGCGCATCTTGGCCACTGATGGTCGCATGTTTCTGGGGATTTTCAAATGCACCGACCCTGTGAGCGACGCCCTCTCCTCATGCCTTCGAAAATTTTCTGACCCTCTTGGCCATGTCTAGGACCGAAATGTCGTGTTAGCCCATACATACGAGTATCGCCAACCGTCAGCGCAGCAACGGGCGGAGGCAGCGAAGAACGCCGCCGCAGGCACCGGGTCGGTCTCGATGGACATGACTTCCCGTTACCTGGGTTTGGTTGTAGTACCTGGCCAATACATTGCAAAGATCGAGGTGGAAGAGTTTTCTAGCCAGCTACGAGGACACAACCCATATGCCGACGCAGCAGTTGTCTAGGGCCCCGCACATTAGAAGATGGCAGGTCAAGGGATAAGTGACGACTAAAGATAATAATGCCGATAATGATAAACTACGCAATTATTGGACATTACAACTAGGAGAACCAATGTTTTTGCCTTGATTACCTTTCCTTCCACGTTCGCCGTAGCAAACCTATCATAACCTCAATTCTTTACCGAGGCACCCAACCCCTAACACCAGAACCAAGCGCTGTCCATGAACGTGGAAGGAATATTATCGCGGACCATGAGCTACATGCTCGCTGCCTTCAAAACGAATATGATTGAGAAAATCCGGGCGAAATCGGCATGACAAGATGCTGCATCTATGCGACAACGCTCTCGTGCTGGCGTCCTCGGGTTTCACCGTTCAACCCGTCATCAGTTCCAGCAACGGAATGGTGGATATCATCCTCATCGTCTTCCTCATCATCGTAGTCCGTCTCCTTGTTATGGGCGGGCATCCAAGAGGAGTCGTCGTTCAAAGGGGCATCTTGTCCAGACAGATCATGGCCTCCCTCGGCGCGTGCCTTGATGTTGTTTCTACGACGAGTTGACAGAGTGCGAGCGCGAGTCGACAGCTTTGAGGACACAGCGGCGTTGGAGGTCACCCAGTTGGTGAGGGCATCCTCGCAGTCCTGGATAATGGCCTTGCTGGCCTCGTAACCATCATATGCAGCACGGGTCTCGCCAGGGGTGACGGGGGTATCATCGATGAGCTCCAAGAGGTGCTTGCCGTAGCCGGCGATAATGGCCACCTTCTCGCAATGCTCTCTTAGAGCATCAAATTGATAGGTGTAGGCGGCTTTGATCTTCTCGCGCGTGATGTTTGACAGTTGAGCCTCAGCGACCAGTGACTCCGCCTCAGCTCTCACAAGTTCCTGTTCGAGAACGACAATCTTTGGCGAGTTGGGCTCCTTGTACTTGAGCTGAGCGATCTGATCGGTTATCTTCTGTTTGCCTGTGAACGCTGTCAGAATCGGCATGGCATGGGAGGCTTCGATTGTTTCTTACGGTCTCGGCTTGGCTGGACTGAAGCCTCAATGTTGCGAATACTCTTGATGGTAACGCGGTATTGGTCATATCGATCGACGTATTGGTCCTCAAGCTCTCCAATTTCGTAGAGCAGGACACCGAGCTTGTCGGTGACATCGGAAACATCTTCGTCACATGCCTCTCCCCAGATGGAAAGTTGTTGCTGAGAGGTCAAAATTAGTATACACATTTCGGAATGCCCTCGGTGCGGGTTGACCTACTGCGACCTCCATACGCTCTCTCGCGACTGTCTCGAGGCTGCGCATAACATTCTTCTCCATCTTCACCAGCTGAGACAGCTTTTTAGCAAGGTCTGGCCCGAAGGCACCGGCAGACTTGTGACGAAGGGCATGACCTGATGTGAACTGTCAGTCGCCGTGAAGATGACAGTGGCCGCATTTCGAACGATAGACAGGACGGCGCAAGCCATGGAGGGTGCTACATACCGAAGCCACCGCGGAAGAGGCGGCCAGACTTAGTGGTTGACGGCGGCGGGGGCGGGTTCTGCAACAAGAGTCAGCATCTATCTTTTGTTCTTGGCGACGATTGGTGAGAAGACAGGCTCGCGGTGTTCGTACCTGTAGTTGAGAGGCCGTGGGCGCCCTCGTTTGGCGCATAGAATAGGTGCGGTGCATGATGGCAGTGGTGTCAACGACGACAATGTCAGTTAGGTTATCAACGTGTGTACTGTCGCAATAATCAATCAGGCGACAAAGTGCGTGTCAATATGCCAGTCAAGGGAGAAGGGCGGTTCGCAAAGAGGGTATCGCGGGGTGGAACAAGGGACTTGTAGAGGATCGAATGACGGTCGAGGCGTCGGGACTGGGATGATGCGGACTCGAGTGTTTATAAGTATGCGCCGGAAAGGGTCCAGAAGACATGCGTGGATGTTGCGGAGGAGACGGGACTCGAAGTGGGCGGCCTGTTGGGCTGGACATGCATGGGTAGTAGAAGGGTCAGGCAGGTGAAGCGGCAGCACCCAGCACCTCTCAGCGCAGTCCCCCAGGCCCCCCTCTGTGCCTCATTCGCCCTGGCGACGTCATCTGTTTCTTTAGCTCGTGTTTTTGGCGTTGTTCGCAGCGTCACCCAGCTAACCACCCACCCAGGTGCCTGCATCAATAACTTACGCGGGTACAAGCAGGAAGCCCCACATTCTAGGTACCTTGTGGCGCCATCTTGAGCTGAATCCGTCGCAAAGTCACCCTTGAAAGCTACAACCCCGGGAGCTCTGGCCAGTGTCACTCCTCATCTCTTCGACCTCGACCTACCATGATCAAAAGGAGGCTACGGTTATGCAATGAGGAGGCAGGCCTCACACAGCCAGGACGATCGCCATCCGGGATGGCGCCGGCTCTTCGAGACCCTTCGCCCAATGTGGGCTCATGAAACAGACGGCCGGGACTCTTGGGGCCGACTTGGGACGAAGAAACAGGAGGAACCAGCAAGCTTCGATGCAAGCTGCAAGAAAACCCCATCACCCCACGCCTGTCTGTTCCCTTCCGCAGCTGCAGGTCCAGACGGAACTGGGGTCTGGGATGATGGAGAGAGTGGGCGATTTGGTTTATGATATAGCCTCCTACGTTGTCCGTCAACAATTCAGGGTTGTCAATCCTTCATTATCTTCCTTCGCAAACTGGTGGGCGAAGGATCTTTAATTTGCCAGCGGATGACATATCTGCATTCCTAGGCACCGGCCTCTCAATTCAGGTCAGTATTCGAATCGAACCTGCCCGTCTTTGATGCCAAGGAACAGGACCGTATTTTTCTTCTCTAGCGCTGGATACATACTCGTACTGTCGAGCGCATCGGCATGTCCAGGTTCTTTAAAGCTAAGGGTCGTCTACTAGTCCCAGAAGATGAGCGATGATTTCATAGACTGCCTCTATCTGTCAACTCGCCAACCAGCGCAATCTGTGCCCTGCGTCCTGGCGGAACACTTGATTAGTCCAAACAGCGGCCGCCAGAGTGTCGGTGCAGCCGGCTGTCGGATTAAGCACGGTAGACTCTGCCAATTGACTTTCTGCTCGTTGCTGTACGGGCATCTCCAGACACTCCCTCATGTTACTTGCTACTTATAATATCGACTATGGCCATGTGCTTGACGCAACACCACTGTTGACTTGCTATATTCTCGTTAGAACGTCGACGGTATACATCTCATTCGAGGCTTACGAGTAATTCTTTTTGCAATGTCGGGGTGTGATGCATAGCTGGACGTATTGAATCAAGAGACTTTCTCCAGTACCTGGGCCGCTCAACTCCAGACGGCCATGCAACCCTAACCCTGGCCCTGGCCGAGTCACGTCGACCGCTACTGCGCTGAGTTGAGCTTAAATGACTGTTATACTATTTTTTCCCCAAGCAACTCGAACATCGGGCAACGTTCAACGCAAGGCAATGGAATATGGCCGCCTTGGCTGAAAGTCCCTTGCGAAAATTTGTCATGCGCGCCGGATTGCGTTTGTAGCGTCCAAAGCGAGACTTGCCTCATTTTGGGGTACGAAGTCCGAGCGCAAGCCAAATGTCGAGTCTCTTTGCCCTGGCTTATTGTTTGCCATTCTCTCTTCGGAAGAGGTGTGGTGGGAGACATATGGCAGCGTGGTATCCTCAAAGACGCCTGAATATAAAACAAGGAGACGCCGGCCGGGAGAGTATTCCGTAAGGAGACAGCACCGAATAAACCGAATGAATAGAAAGACATTGTTCTCAGAGTGCGCTCCATCATGACAAAGCCCAAAGTGTAACATGAATCAATTGCAAGCCCGCCACCACCACCCGCTGAGACGAAAGAGACGGAAAAAAAAATACTGCAGAAAATAATCAAAGAAGGCATGTTATATTTGTGCATCTCTTGTGTCTTTACCCAGACTGCCTGAAATGCATCGGAACCAACGGGCAACTGATACACTGGGCCGTGAGGTGCTTGGTGGGTTATTGTGGATAGGTGCGTTGGTTGCCTGAGTCCTGAGTGCAGTTCCTGAAGCGCAGCCCCTGCTCCCCCGGTCTCGTTTGGGACTAGCGCATTGCAATCTCTCCCTCGATGTC